TTTGGGGTCTAAGTATATGCTATATAGGTACATGGACCCTTAGGGCTTTACATCAGATCTGGGTCCCCTAAACCCTAAACCCTAAACTCTAAACCCTAAACCCTAAACCCTAAAAGATCAGCGCAGAAGTCCTGGGCTCTCTGGTCTCGCGAGGAGAAGCTGAAGGTCACAGCCATGCTCCCAGGCGCAGCCGAGGAGTGGAACAAGGCGAATCCAGACCAGGCGCGCATTTCAGGGTTTAGGGTTTAGGGCTTTGGGTTTAGGGTTTAGGGCTTAGGGTTTAGGGTTTAGGGTTTAGTGTTTAGTGTTTAGGGCAGCTTACCCAAAGGGTCCAAGTATATATATGGTAGCTACTTTGTAGGTATTGGGGCCTGAAAAGTATATACTTGGAACTTGGACCCTTTGGGTTAGGGCTTAGGATCCCGAACCCGAAAATCCCCCTGCCGCACTTTTTGTCTACATCTTAAGAAGAATAAGCCCTAAGCCCTAAGTAACCACCGCAAATCCGAAAGCTACGTCCTCAACTCCAGATTACCCCTTGCAAACGAAACCTCCCCCGTAGGTTTTTTTGATCGCAATAAACAAAAACCTGTAGTATGCAAATTTGCAGGTAACATAATGTGCTTCATGGTGGGTGTAAGTTAGGAATGCTCATTCATGATCGCGTCTTTGGGCTCTTCAGGTTGTTGTGGCCGGGGTTGAAGCCACAGTTTAGCTTCCATGCCCTGATACTTGGAGGGTCATGGGACTTAGTAAGTATGGTTATAAGTACTTTAACTGAGGGTTATAGATAATTGTAAGTATAATTACCAAGTCCCGTGATCCTGTAAGTACCCCTAAACCGCCTCGTGGAACCCTTGCGGATCCCTTGAAGGACCCCTTCAAAGGACCCTAGTCACTACCCTAAACCTTATTCTCATTACAAAGGCCCCTGCATTAACCTAAACCCTAAACCCGAAACCCTAAACCCTAAACCCTAAACCCTAAACTCAAGAGTATTAAGGCCCTTAGATTCGCTGGCAATCTCCGGCCCTGGGCCCTCCAGCGCTCTGCTCAAGGGCTCGAGTACGAACCCCCGAGCCTTTCGTGCTCGTCAGACCCAGGAGTGGGAGGTTTAGGGGTTTAGGGTTTTAGGGTTTCGGGGTTAGGGGCCAGGGTTTAGGGTTTAGGGTTCAGGTTTTTAGGGTTTAGGGTTTAGGGTTTAGGGGTTAGGGCAGGGTTAGGGTTTAGCACTGGTATCAAGATCGTTTCATAGCGGTGTCATAATAGTGGACTTACACTAGAAGGTACCCGAAAGCCGGGCGATGTTCGTGCATCTCCCATGTGGGTAGTTTTCCAAATCAGGGTCCCTGTTAGGGATCCTTTTTATCAGGGTGCCGTTGGGACCTAAAAACGGGCCCTAACTTAGAGAGCTGCCCATGTCTTGATTCACCTTAGAACGTTCGAGAGCTTCCGACTCCTTGAACTTCCTGAAGCTGCAGGGTCGATGGTGTCGAGCCTGTGCTTTGGGTTGGGGTAGGGGTTTAGGGTTTAGGGTTTAGGGTGTAGGTATTAGGGTTTAGGAGGGTTTATGGTTAGTTTGGGCGGGTTCTGAGCTTTGAGGTTTGGGCTGGTGAGGCTGATGTGAGCCATAGGCAAAGTTACGTCTGCTCAGCGTGGTGCAATTGATTTATGTTAAGACCTGCTACTACGGCAGTCGCGTCGAGCCCTGTTGACTCCAATCACCCTAAGGGTCCATGTCCCCAAATAGTAGATACTTTGGCCCCAAAGTACCCAAATAGGAACTACTTTAAGGCCAAAGTATATACTATTTAGGTACATGGACCCTTTGGGTCAAGCTCTATTCCGTACAGACTTGATGCAAGTGACAGCAGGCCATCGCACTGGGCGACTATGTCACAAAGGTGAACACCGTAACAGGTCGGTAAGCGAAGGGTTTAGGGTTTAGGGTTTAGGTGGGGTTTGTGGGGTGCGATGCCACTCGGATTATGGGCTGGGGCCTGGAGCGTTGAGGAGTTGACTGTCAGTTGCCTTGTCGGCATCAAAAGTTCAGGATGATGCTTGGAGGTTCATGGGTAGTTATAAGTAGGGTTATAAGTCCCCTAATATGGTTTATAATTGTAGTTACCCTACTTATAACCCCACTTACAATTATAACTGCCCATGAACCTCCGAGTGCTCTGTCCTTGGCTTAGAAAGGACTGCCACTGCTTCCTTGGCCAGGTGTCATGTCATGAAAGTGGTTTTTGTTCATGGACTGCTGCGCAGTATGGAAACCGCACTGTCAAAATCCCTATAATACCAAACCTTTGTAGATGGCGTCTAGTGCAGTAGAATGCAAACGGAGACGCAAT